GCTACAACTTCGTGTGTGATGTTGCTTGCTGGTCGTGGATTGACTGAGTCTTGATTACCGGTTAAAATGTTGCTCTTTTGGCGTTGGTAATTTTTATTTGGAACTGAGTAACGCCGCAACGTCGCCAGCAGAAACCTGGTATCTCGATGCTGATGGTTGCGGCTGCATAGTAATCGCTGATTTTACTGCTGGTGGATCTTCTGAAGCCCTTCAAGGTTTATAAAACTCAGTTTCCAGGTGGTCAACATACATTAAGTTCTCCCAATCGTAGTATTCCATGTGATGTACACCTGACATGCCAAAAATGTTGTTGAACGATTTGAACTGGATAAAAATAGCAGACGAAAATGTGTTTACAAAATAAAAATAGTTCGGTAGCCAATGAAACTACCATGTTCATTTGCATATCGACCGTGAAAATACCGAAAACATTATTGCATGGGTGATATGCAAATTAGTTTGGGCCAAAATAAGTGACTGCCTAAAAGTACCATTACTGTTGTTCAAATTTCATTTCACTCGGCAAGTATATTCATGTACCCCAAGGGGAAAATATCGTACTTCTAAATATTGTTTATTCCGATAAACTGTACTCCTGAAGGGACTACTTTGCTTGCTCTCAGACCTCATTTGCATATGGGTTGTGGAAATACCGATTTTGATTTCAGGGATGAATCAAAATAAACTGCAGTACATATGTAATAATGTGCATTAAAGGCCTTAGGCCCTGGGAAGACAACTGTCTCGCTGGCGTCAAGCTTGATACATACGTCAGATGAGTATCTCCTTATACAGTACAGCTCAAAAATTGTTAACCTAAACGCTAGCCTTGTATTGAGACACGTTAGCACGATGATAGCTTTACATGTGAGAATAAAATATTTAGCAACAATTGCCTGAAGTTGATTCTATTGTTTTTATTCAAATAGTGTTTGTATTAAAATGGAAACATGTAGATGTAATCAAAATAAAAAAAACTTATGTTTTGAGGTTATTATTTGTTTTTTGTCTTGTTTCGATGATGTTGGTTACTCAAATAATTGTTACACTTACGAAATACATGTAACTTTAACTGGAGTGTCACTGTTTGTCTCTCCTGACCTGTTTATTTGATACATACTAACCATACCATATACATGTACATACATGTACAGTTGATTTTAAAGATTTGGTAGACTTCTTTTGGCACATGTTATTCAAATAAACATTTTTTCATAGCTATGACTTTGGTACATGTCATTCACAGTAGTGACATTTAGTTTCAAATATTCATAACTGATATTTTATGCTAAATATGTCGGTATGTGCACGATAAAAGTCCATGCTCAAGCAGTAAGTAGGCAAAACCAAATCATGCGATGGTAACTTTTTCATCACCGTGATATGAGAATTGACTAGGTAACAATTACTTGCAGGGTGAAATGACATAAACTGAACAGTAATGATGATTGGAAGTTTCCTTTTTGAAAAATATATTTCTAAAGTGGGTAATATTTATGCCGATTTTGAAAACCAATAACTGCAATTACATGTCCACTTACGCATGTGACGTCATGCTTAATTAGCAACAATTAGCATATAATTTACATAGAATCATGATTTCTCTGTCATTTTGACAGTGGGGGTGGTCATGTGACATCACTTATAGTAGCTGGTTGATACTATCCAGAGATTTTTTTAAACAAGGGAACAGGGGCGCAGCGCCCTCATGCCATGGCCATGCGCTCTTACCCTGGGGAGCAGATTCTCTGGCAACCATAAAATCCTGATTTACCAGGGATCACATGTGGCCACAGTCTTCAACTGTGACCTGTCTGATAGTAATTTTGGTCCTAAGGAAGCCATGGAATGCTTCATTTTAACTTAGAAATATCACAGCTCTACACCCTGGTAGAGAGAACCCTATCTCCCCCACTTGGTGGCTCTGCTGAATTGCAGTGCTCCCTTTTGCAGTTTTTTTCAAGAAAAAAACCTGCTATCATGGTGTCATGAACTGTGTTATCGACTCATCTTTGGTTTGTGGATAATATTAGCCAATGACATCGCTGAACAATTTATATCAGGTGATAAAGTCATAGAAGTGCACACATACTAGCGTTTTCCTAAACTGTGTTTTTATGATAGATATTATGCACAATCAGTGTTTGCCGATAATGTTAAAAGGTTGTTGGCCGTCAGGGCCTGCAAGCTGGAGACTTGTTGGCCCTGTTTTGAATGTTGTTGGCCTTAAAAGAAAATACAAAATGTACATGAACACAAAGTAAAAACGGTAAAATGCACACAGAGGTCATGTTTTAATGACCCACTGAGAAATTTGTCGCCATAAATGTTTGTCATATTGAACAGTTTTAGCTTTTATCTTTTTTACAGTCATCAACAAACTCAAGGTGCAGGATAGCAGGGCCAGCATGCTCTTAATCTTGTCTGTCCTACTGTAAAGCTTCAGGTCTTGCACCCAGAGATTTGCCTTAATTGCGAACATTGTACACTGAGCAAGATAAAATATCAAAGAGAATTATTTATTATAAATGTTGCCTCTTTCAATAAATATTTTATGTCATTTCTTATTTCTAGAATTGAGGAAGGATCTTCCTCAGCACTGCCATTGCCTAAAAGTAAAGTGAACTTTATAGAAGCTGATCGTTATTTTCTACCATTTGAGTTAGCATGCCAGTCCAAATCTGCCAGAATTGTCAACACGGCATTGGACTGTTTGCAGGTAAGTTGGTTGCTTTAAGGAATTCATACTCGATTTCTCTTTGCTCCAATTTCTTATTTCACAATGTACATGTAGATGCAACAGTCAGATGTTAACAGTGATTTGCGTTTTAGCCCCTGACTGAACATAGTCTGGGGTCTTATAGATTGGGTATCATCTGTTCGTCGCATTATCTCAGAAGTTCATGGACCATATATTTAAGTAAGTTTGGTACATGGTTGATACATGGATAGTATACATGTATGCCCAAGATTTTTTTTTCTGTTTAGATACAAAATGAGTGACTGGCAACCGTATTTAACTCAAAAATAGCCTAACAACCTAAATTTTATATGTTGGCCATAAATTGGCCAACTGGCACCCATTTTGTATTTCAAACATAGTGTTGTTCATTTTTGCTTATAACTTGAGAATACAATTACTATTTAAAGTTTATTCAGGTTTGGTACAGAGGCAGTATACCACTTCACAAAGATGCAGTTTATTTTTGTCGCAATATGGCAGCCATTTTCGTTTGATGAAAATCTGCAATTTTTGCCCAATTCTGCTTATATTTCAAATTTACACTATTCAATTAAGTTCAAACTTGATTCACATTGCAACTGTGCTGGGGCAAAAAAAGTCAACAAAAGTTGATTTGTGTTACAATCCAATCCAAAATGGTTGACTGGCAGCCATTTTTTTGCATATTTCTGCTTAAATCTGCTTAAATTGACTGATTATGGCAAAACTTGGTTCACATACAATCCAATCCAAGACTGGTAGCCATAGACCATGCACATGTATCGCAATTACTAATCATAGTGTATTGTGGGATAGTTATGGCTGAATCAAACACAACTCTGCCAATCAGAAAGCAATCTGACATAACTGTCCCATAATGCACTATAATTTGGATTTTCAGTAAATGTTTTACCTTTTGCTAACATAGACAGTACCTTCACAGTGAAATTTGATCCAATTTTGTACCCAAGTGTAGATTGGAAATACTGGTGTATGCAGGCTTAATAAGTTTTAAGCCATGGTCATGTCATCTTCTCTTGACAGTTATGGAGTTTGATTTCCTAGATATACTTTTTATAAAACACATATTGCTTGTATTCTGTATCAAAACGGGAGCTCTGAAGATTTTAACTTTGATATAAATGATCAGATCAGTGCGTCTTATCGTAGATTTCTCCCTGTATGATATTGACGTATAATGCAGGAAAGACTGTAAGCAATTCCTGTTTTTATTTCCTGTAGAAACTGATAGCATATGGCCACCTGACTGGGAGCTCCCCGGACTCGAACGCTCCTGGTAAGAAAGTGATTGACAGAATTATAGAAACAGTATGTGGATGTTTTGTTGGTACATCCACGGATGAAGGTGTACAATTACAAATTATTAAGGTTAGTTCAAATGTACCATGTTATTGATACCTACTACATGTACTAAGATTTGTTGTACAGGTGTAATAGAGTACTGTAAGATATGTTATTTTAGCTGGAATTAATTTTGGCTGAGAGGCACTTAAGCTGTTTTGTATCAAGTTCATTTTCACTGATTATTGATGAGTTGAATTTAATATATAGGAAAAAATGTATTTTGCCCAGATTTTATTTTTCGCTGATTTCAGCAAAATAGCGAAAATAAATAAAAATGTATTTTGCCCAGATTTTATTTTTCGCTGATTTCAGCAAAATAGCGAAAATAAATAAAAATGTATTTTGCCCAGATTTTATTTTTGCTGATTTCAGCAAAATAGCGAATATAAATAAAAATAAGTAAAAATAAAGTATTTTACAGAATGTTTTTGTGACATGAATGAAGAGATTAGTTTACTTCTCGAATTACATGCGTTGGTACATGAAGGAATGTGTTTCTAAAATTATTCAAAATTATTAGACATCTACTACTGTAAACTACTGTAAAATACTTTATTTTAGCTGGAATTAATTTTCGCTGAAAAGACTTTTTGGGTGTTTTGTGTGGAATTTATTTTCACTGATTTCTGACGAGTTGTATGTATAATATAGGAAAAAAGGTATAATCGCTGGATTTTATTTTAACCAAATCATTCCTTGAGCGAAAATAGCGAAAATTAATTATCCTTCTGACCTTATCAGTAGATTAATGTAAACACAACAAATTTATTTTCTTGATTAATTAAAAATTAATTAATAAAACTCAGTGGATATGCGATGTTAACTGCAGAATTTATTGTTTCCTTCATCAACCAGTGGATTTAAAACACTAAGAATATTCCTGTAGTATCAAATCTACTGCTCTTTAAGTTGAACGTCTCTTGCTGTCTCTACTATGATGTACATGTACCTTTCAATAATCTTTTGGGATGGTTCAAAGTCAAATTCAAAATTATTTCATTTTCATCATTATGATTTGTTAATTCATATTATCAGTATACCCCCAAAAAATTGGATCCACGAAATGATTTTTCAAGATAAAAGAGTCTTAAATGTCAAGGAAATTTTTCTCACTGGTTTCTGTGGTGGAATTATTTCGGTATCTTATAATTATGCTCGGTGACCTGAGATGAAAAAGTCGTATATTACTATTGGAATGAATCCTTATACATAAATTTACATATAATTTAGTAAGTTTCCAGGGCGATAATAGCTTTTCATTATGTAGAATAATAGGTTCTCCCCCATAATGCATTGCATACATGTGCAGTAAAATGCTTAGTAAAGCAAAATTTGAATTTGGTTTCAACTGCCTTAAAGGTGACTGCACAAATACATGTACATTTACCCAGACAGTCGTCTAGCATTTATGAAAATGTAAGTGAGCGAGTATGCTTTCGTTTTCTGGCTCCAATTTACTGTGAAATAAATGCTTTGGATGAATTGATGTCAGTCGAGTGCTTGCTTGTAATTTATAATACACCAGTGACAGCGTATGGCGGCAAACCCTAAATAATTCAGCTGAACTTTTCTGCACAACATCTGTTGTAATGTTATTGGCAAAATAACCAGACTTTGTATCATTGTATGCTTCAGCACTGTGCGTCTCAGACAATACTTTCACTGTATCATGTACTCAGATGTAAATTTTCCTATTTTGTTAATAACCTTATATTATTACAGGAGCCAGTGTTTTTTTAGCTCCGCTGTCGACTTTGTCGAGCGGAGCTTATCATATGAGTGATTGTCCGTCGTTGTCGTCCGTCGTCGTCGTCGTCGTCCGTGTCAATGTTTTACTTTTTCGACTTCTTCTTGAAAACTACAAGCCTGAATGCTTCGATACTTGGTGTATATGTATGTACCTTGGGTAGACCTCTCTCAGATTTGTTCATTTCATGATGATATCTTCAATTCTCTAATTTTGGTGAATATTTTTGTCATTTTTAGTAAAAAGTGATATTTTCGACTTCTTGTTGAAAACCGCAAGTGCAATTGCTTTGATATTACATATATAGGTACTACATGTGGACCTCTCTCAGATTTGTTCATTTTGTAATGATATCTTTAATTCTCTAATTTTGGTGAATATTTTTGTAATTTTTGGTAAAAAGTGATATTTTCGACTTCTTGTTGAAAACCGCAAGTCCAATTGCTTTGATATTTACATATATAGGTACTACATGTCGACCTCTCTCAGATTTGTTCATTTTGTAATGATATCTTTAATTCTCTAATTTTGGTGAATATTTTTGTAATTTTTGGTAAAAA